CGAAGGCGGTGGAGGGACGTGACCTTGGCATCGACCGTGGAGGCAAGACCACCACCCGACGACGAACGCACCAAGCACGACGGCGACTAGCAGCGAAGCGCTTCACCTCCATCGGCAAGAAGCTACGACCACTACCCATACGACAACGACAGCAGATCATCAACTCAGGACCCATGCCTTTCACGACCTACGCCCACAGTATTTTCGGAGCCTCACCTGCGGAGACGCTCCGCACCCGGCAACGGTGCACTAAAGCTTTGTGACGCCCTTGGGCGGGGGGTGCCTCACCACGCTCCTCGACCTCGAAGGCCACGACCCAGCCATCAGCATGCCGACGGGCCAAGTACGAGCGTGGTTCGACATGTGGGCCAAGAACCCAGAACTCAGACGGGGCATGCGGAAGGCGTGGCCACCTATACGACACCGACTTCTAGAAGCACCACCACGACACAGACGGCAGCAACGACGGGGGGCCATCGGCAGCCTCATCCTGACCCTGTGGCTTTGCGGCTGGGACGCGCTGCGGGCAGATTCGTGGGCCGACGCAGACGGCAGCGCGTGGGAGTTTACGGAGGACGAGCAAGCGGGCGACCCCTCAGAGCTGATGGACACATTGGAAAGACACATCCGACGACGACTTTGGCAGCACGCAGCACGGCATTACCACAGTACAGGATGCGAGCACGGCGTCGACAACACAGACCTTCGACGGCGCCTACGCTGACTCCTCCACCAGGGGCGACACGCAGAACACGGAGCATTTCTTGCAGCAGTTTGCGATGGCACGTGGACTGGGGCACGCAAGGCTAGCATAGGAGCCGGGCACACCACCTGCCAGTGCGGGCGCGACGAGACGGATTTCCACCGCATCTGGGGCGATTGCAGCAACCGCAAGGACAGCCTTGCATACGAGCACTCCTCAGCTATCACACGAAGAGCCGACGGCATGAGCGACGCAGTGCCCTGTTTCTGGTTGCGGGGTCTCACGCCCATGCCATGGGCGTGCCCAGAGCCCTGCACCACAGAGGAAAGCGAGACCTGCTTAGGCGAAGCGATCGACCAAGGCAGACTCACACCGACGGGAGATGGGCCACTGGTGATCTATGGAGACGGCAGCGGTGGTGAACGATCTGGGGACGACCGATATATGCGATGTGGTTGGGCCTGGGTCAGACTACGCCTTGGTGGCGACGGCGAATGCCACTTGGCGGCAGGCAAGCGGGACCCCCTACCAGGACCTAGACAGAGCAACAACCGAGCTGAGCTGTGGGCCTTCTGCAACTGCGTCAAGAGCACCAACGATTACCTTCACTTCTGGACCGACTCCGCGGTACTAGTAGCGGGCTGGCGCACCTTCGACACAAGGGGCCCTTCCACAAAGCGCTCAACAACTGGCGTGGCACGATCAGCCTGTTCAAGATCGAGAGCCACCTGACGCTGGAGGAGGCGCTGCAGGGGGGGGCCCAAGCACGCCTGGGCTGGGAACAGCATCGCCGACCAGCTCGCCGACCAAGCCGCGGCGGAGCACGCGATCAGTGCGGCCCAGCTCGACTGCTACGACTGGATCAGGGCTGCGGCGGTCAAGGTTCGCGACAGAATATGCCAAGCCACCCGCGACGCCTTCGAAAGAAGACCACCCCAGCACGCCACGAAACGACAGCAACGAGCAGACAAGCAGAACGACCACCACCCAGAGCCACCACCCAACCTCAACCAGATCGCGTTGGTGCACCACCACGAGACCATCAAAGGGGCCACCTTGGCGCGCTAGGGCTGCATTCGGTGCAGACAGTCTGCGGCCAGGACGGGGCCCAAGTACATCGCCGAGCCACGGCTACCTCGACCTTGCGCAGGCTGCGAAATTTCGACACGCACGACGAGAGGCATTGTGATTGGCAGCGAGTTCCCACACCCGACCCACCACATGATCTTCAAGCACAAAGAAGCGAAGTGGTTATTTGTGCTATGTGCGGGCCGAGCGAGCCCTGGGCAGCGGGGCTACCTTGGGGAGCTGCTGAAGGAGCCCTGCCACTCGACCCCGCCCACGCCTTCAGCAACCTGCCTATTGGCCCGCCTGCTCAAAGGCGTAGAGTTGAATGGGATCTTGGATGACGGCGCGGGCAGCATTCGACAGAGTTGAACCCTGGACGTGTATTTACTAGCCACGTTGCTGGACGTTTGTGGTCCCCTTGGGTGTCTAGGCACTGGTCACCTCGGTTGAGGCAGACGGTACCCGACCCAAGGGTGACAGTTCCCCCCTGGGTGGCAAGGCACTGGTCACCTCCATGAGGCAGACAGTACCCGGCCCAGGGGTCAGTCGCAGTTTTGCTTTGTGACTCGCAGAAGTTTGGACGTAGTTCGCAGTGCAAGGCAAGACCAGGCTGCGCGTTCGTGTTCGACGGGTACCACCTGTACCTCACGATGTGCGAGTTTTGCTGTGGCGTTACCCCCGTGCGGTGGGATTCGGAATGTAGCTAACCCACCGCACGGGGAGAACGAGATGTGTGCGACCCCGTGGACATAGTGGACATGGCGGGGAAGCCTGGCCTCATCTATACCATGGTGCGGGGCGAGTCCGACGACTGCAAGTGCTGGGAGTTCTCGGCCGAGTACGAGGCCCGCTGCGACAAGTTGGGTGACGAACTCACTGGGTGGTCGGCCTGTGCCGACCTTGATTCTGCCCTCCCCAAGAGGGCGTGCCCAGTGAGCAGACGTGTTCCCCAACCGCTGTCAGTAGCGCGGCCGTCAGCACTGGGCCGCCGACCTCGCCATCAGTCTCAAGGTGCTAGATGAGGACCCGCTGGACCTCATCGGCCCCCTGGAGTTCGTCACCGAGGCCTGGCGCAGCCTGGGCCCGCGGGCCGCGTGGGGGCCCGCCGCCCGCGGTCGCGGGCGCTGGGGCGACATCGTCGCGCAACGCGTCCCCGCGTCCTCCTCCTCCTCCTCGATGTTCGAGCCAAGGTGTCGACCGCCTCCCAGGGCCCTCTCGATCGCCGCTCTGGGGCGCCCCATGCAGCCGAGGGGGACTTCTCGGCTAGGAGAGTCGCGATCGGCGGCAGGGCGGCGGGGTCCCCATCTCCTGCCGCTCTTCCTCGACATCCGAGGAAGAGCAGCAGAAGGATACCTTCGGAGGGGCGCCAAGAATACAGCACCACCAGCCCTGGCCAGGCCCATCCTAGGCCGTTGACTTGCGTGAGACCTCCAGGCCAAGGCCAGGAGGGGCTGTGCACCAGTCCAGGGCCCAGGATGGGCCTGGCCAGGGCTGGTAGTGGTGGTGGTGTATTGTTTGGAGCTCTCATCTGCCTCGGTGATCCAATGGTCAGGCTTGGATCGCGCGCCTCGGAGCCCTCACGCTTGAGGTGTGCCGTAATAGTTTCCAGTCCCATATCTGCCCATTGTTCCAGTGCGAGCCTGACACGGAGCCTCTATGTTTCGACCCCTCTGGGGCCGCTCTCTCGATCGTTGCTGGGGCACTCCAAACAGCCGGGATGTTTGTCGGCCCTGAGAGGCGAGAGCAGCGGTGAGGCGAGAGAGGCGCCTGCATTCGGGCGCTGTACGGTGTTCACGGATGTTTGTTCCTAGCTGTTTCTGGCCATTTTGTTTTCCCTTCGCAGTTCTAGCCAGAAGAGTCCTCCTCCTCCTCTTCCTCCTCCTCCTCCTCCTCCTCCTCCTCCTCCTCTTCCTCATCCTCCTCATCCTTCTCCTCGTTCTATGCCTCCTCCCTTGGCTGTTTGCTTGTGACGCCCAGCGTTTAATTACAATCTCCCACAACTCTCACCAATAGACTGAGGGCTGAGCATAAAGCATCGCCCACCCGTCCTGGCGACCTCACGACCCATATGAGGCGATTGGAAGTTGTCAAGTTGGTTATCGGCGTCAGTCGGTACGAAATCACACGTTGCCCCCATGCTACGTGAGCTCCTCCTCCTCCTCGTCCTCCTCCTCGTCCCTCCTCCGCTACATCATCCCCTTTTTCCTCCTCTTCCTCTTCCTCCTCTTCCGTCTCTTCCCCCCAGCAGAAGCGAATGGGGGCTCCCTCGCCCTCATCCTGCGTCCCCTCCCACTCCTCCCCCTCCTGTCCCTACGTGCCTTCTCCTTTGCAATAGCTCATCCCAGACGCACGCCGAGGCTCGGTTTAAAGGCCAAGCCTGGCACGTCGCATAAGACTCCCCCACCATGTATGCTCCTGAAGCTTACAAGTTGCAGCAGCTTCATGGATGGAGAGCGGGTGGTTTTCAAAGTATGGCTTTCACCTCAGATCCGCGCACATCCGTCGTAAATCGTGCAGGAGCTTCACTGATGGAGGGCGGGTCGTGTCAACATGCGGTTCTCGCTGCAGCGCCGTGCACCTGTGTTTTCAAACCCTGCGAGAGCTGCACGGATGGACGGCAGTTCTGCTTCAAATTGCGGTTCTCGCTTAACCGCCGCGCACATCCAATTCACGAGTTTCAAGCAGTTTCACTGGTTCTCATGGCGAACGTTCCAGGAATGGCGTCTTGGTACGGTGTCGGGCTGGCATGGCGCAACAGATTTGTTGATGTGTGGCGTCGGAGTCCCAGGATTGGCGTTCTGGCACGAAAACCAGGATTGCCAAGACGCAACAGTAACGGTGATTGGCGGCGGCGTAGTCCCAGCAATGGTTTCCTGGAGCAGCTCAAGATTTCCATGCGGTTGTTTTCCAACGGGCGATTTCCATCAGTGAAACGGCACCCTTGTAGGGGCATCTGAAAAAGGGAACGTGGAGGGAGGGCTGATTGCAACATCTTTGATGCATCTTGGTTTTGCACTGGCCCCCCTCCTCCTATTGCACTGGTCCTCATCCTCCCCTTCCTCCTCCTCCTCCTCCTCCTCCTCCTCCTCCTCCTCCTCCTCCTCCTCCTCCTCCTCCTCCTCCTCCTCCTCCTCCTCCTCCTCCTCTACCTCCCCCCCCCCAGGCAGGCGCCGATAGGGGGCCACCGACGGCGGGCCCCCGGCCTCGGGCCCGACCCCCGCGCGCCCAGGGCACGAGCGCGAGCCCCACGGCGCTGCACGCGCGCGGAGCTCCGTGGGAGCAGGAGCGCCCCCCCCCCCCCCCCGCCCCCTGCGCCCGCGCGCCGTTTCCCCCCCCCCCATCCCGCGTCCTCCCCTCCTCCTCCCCCCCTGTGCCCCCCCCCCTCCTCCTCCTGCCCCCCCCCGCCCTCCCTCCTGCTCCCCCTGGCCTCCCTCCTCCGTCCTGGCCCGCCCTCCCTCGTCACGCCCTCCTCCTCTCTCTCTGCCTCCTCTTCCTGCCTCCCCCCCCTCCATCTGGGTGTAAGGAGGTTGAGGGGCCTCGCGGGCCATGCATGACAGAATATGGCACGACGGGCAACAGTCTGTTTCCACTCACCTTCCTGTGCCCTCCTGTCCACAGCGTCGGAATCGCTGGGGAGAGTATCGATCTGACAGGCGGAGCGTGAGGGCATATGCCTCGAGTCTAGCTCTCACTCTCGGCGAACGTCGGTTTGACGCCTGTGACCTCCGCCTGTGACCCTCATTCCTGTCAGCTCCTCACCTTCTAGTCATCCTCCCAACTCTCCTGCCCTACCTGAAGTTTGTTTTGCTACTCGTATTATTCCTCCTCCTGTTCCTCGCCTTCTCCGCGCCTCTCGATCCTCTCCCTTGCTTCCCCTGGCTTCGCTTCCTCCCTGTCTCTGCCCTCCTCCTCATCCTCCTCCTCCGCCTCCTCCCCTCGCTCTCCCACTCGATAGACGGAATCTGTGGTGTCCCTCGCCGCGCCTCCTTCTCTTCTCTCCTCTCCTCTCCTCTTCTCTTCGCTTCTCTTCCCTTCTCTTCTCTTCTCTTCTCTTCTCTTCTCTTCTCTTTTCTTATCCTCCTCCTCCTCCTCCTCCTCCTCCTCCTCCTCCTTCTCATCTTCCCACCTTCTCCCTCCCTCCTCCGCACTCCCTCTTCCCACCTCCTCCCTCCTCCCCCCTCCCGCTCCCGTCCTCGCCCCCTCTCCCCCCCACCTGGCCATCCCCGCCCCTGCCGCCCCTGAAAAGCCCGAGGAGTCCTCCGCGCTGGCCGCCACGCCCTCCACCTCGGCCTCCTCCGCGTCGAACTACGCCGCGTCGGAGGCGGCCGACGTTGGAGAAGGCCTCGGCCCGCGGCGCGTGGGCGTCTCGCAATTTGGGGCGTGGCCGTGGCGGCTAGGCAGCTATGGCTGCAGAGAAGGTGCTCTTCAGAGCCCCTCCTTACGGCCCTGAGGGGGGCCTTCATGGCCCGAGAAGTGCACATTCTCCTCCTCCTCCTCCTTCTCCTCCTCCTCCTCCTCCTCCTTCCCCGCCTCCTCCTCCTCCTCCTCCTCCTCCTCCTCCTCCTCCCCCGCCTCCTCCTCCTCCTCCTCCTCCTCCTCCTCTCCTCCTCCTCCTCCTCTTCCTCCTCCTCCTCCTCCTCCTCCTCCTCCTCCTCCTCCTCCTCCTCCTCCTCCTCCTCCTCCCCCACATGATCGCCCCCACATTAAGTGACACCTAAGGCGGTCGGACCCGTCTGCCGTCGGTCGTCGGTCGTCAGTCGTACTCGTCGTGGTGGGGGAAGAGGAGGGCCGAGCATGCGTAGAGGTGGTTCGACTTGGGCGTTCTGGTCGCGACGGCTTGGTCTCCCTTGAGGCTCCGGGTGATGTGAAAGCGGTCCAGGACAGACTCCGAGGTCAAAGTTTGGAGGGGAGCGGAGACGAGGGATGCGGATCTTTTCGAATTGGTAAAGGCTACCGCAAGCGTGAAAATCATCTCGAACAGGGAATGGGCCAGCCACGGGATTCTTCTCAGAGTCGCCTGGGTTGTTAGCATATTGAATGCCTGCACGCTGATCCCAGAAGGCCGAGCCGGCCTGGGAAACAGATGCTTAGACAGCTCTTGTCCCGTCCAACCCCCCACCCACCGCACTTCCCCCCCTACACCCGTCGACAGAGTGAGAGGTGGAAACAGCGAAAACTTAGCCGTCTCCACGTCCTTCCTCGCGCGTAGCTGAACTGGAGGCGCAAGGAACACGCTTTTGGGTTGGCAGCCCCGCAGAAGATTCTGGAGGCGGTTAAATTACGCAAATGTTTGACCATGCCGTCAAGACGACGGTTGACGCGCTTGCATTCGTCCGAGAGGCCTCTGGCGTGCTGGGCGGCGCAAGCCCCGAACAGCGAGCAGAAACATGTGGGTCCTGCTAGGTGGAGCGCGTGCTGCCGAACACAGCGCTTCAGCTGGCGCATGATCGATCGCGACTTGGCCGACCGCAGACAGACCACACACACAAGAACCGCCTGTGCTGCCAATAGTTCGCAGGATCGTGTTTCGAGTGGGCCATGGGGGGCCCAGTCCTCATTCGATACTGCCGATGACCCTGGCCCAATGTCGGGGGCGTTGCATCGGCAGGAGTGACCGAGTTGATTTCGGGGGCTGCGCGCACACAGAACTGGGCCACCATCTTGATGGCCTTGCGAGGCTGGGCGTGAGCCTCCAAGAGGTCCGCCCTTACCGCCACCTCCTTCCAATTCCTTCACTCCGTCCGTCTTCCCTCATTCCTCCCTTGTCCCTTCTCCTCGCTCCGCCCATTCCCCGCATCCCTCATTTCCTGCCCCGTCCCTCCTCTCTCATGTCCCCTCCTCTCCCGTTTCCCGGCCTCGAGGACCCGAAACACCCCGACGCGGCGGCGCGGGACGGCCTGCAGGTGCGCCTCAGTGACCTGGTGGCGGGGCCCGCCTCCGCCTGGATGGCCTGGCATCGACGCCGAACTCACAGCGCCAGGAGGACTGCCCTGGCTGCACCTGCTCGACGACCTCCGAGACCCGGGCATGGACAATTTCTGGATGTGGCTCCTAAGTTCTGCCACTGGGGGCCATGTCCGGGCGGATGAGTGGCTCGGGGCGCCCGTCCTGGAGGCGCCGGCCACGCGCGCCTGCCGCGGAGGCGAGCTCGACCGTGAGCGCCAGGGGCGAGCACCCGCGGACACAGCAGGGTCCGCGACACTCTCCTCAGACTCGCTGGCCTGTCCGACAACGCCGCCGCCGTCGAGGTTCTGGGCGTAGTTCCGTCGCGTCCACTTTTCTCTGCCCTGCTGACATTTTACCTCTGGCTGCTGTTGCCCGCCTGGCGGCCTCGGATGTGGGCGCGGCGGTCTGGCCCTGCGGGCCGGGACCTGTGCGGTTGCTGGCTCGGGCGGCACGGGCGCTGGCTGGCCGATGGCGGTGGCGCGGGCGGGGGGGCGGGCGCGTGCGCGGCGCCGAGAGTGGCGTGTCCATGCTCGCCGTGTCGCACCCGCAAACAAGTCTCCCCCAATCCCCGAGCTCCGCCCAACGATTGTGGCCGCTCAGACGAAGCGGGGCGGGGGGGGGGGGAAGAACTCCTTGGGATGCATCCCAGAGAGGTTGTTCGGACGCACCCACATCGAGGAGGGACGCCCCCTGTCGTGTATCCCAGGGTCGGGCCCCAAATTTCCCGTCCGCTCGAAAGCCAACGGAGCCTGGGATTGGGGTGGACGTATCCCCTGTTATCTGATGTTTTTTTGTTTTGTTTTTACTCCACGGCGTCCTCCATGACTTGCCCCTGCTGCCCCTCCCTTCTGCCTCCTCCTCCCTCCACCCTCTCTCCTCCTCCTCCTCCTCCTCCTCCTCCTCCTCCTCCTCCTCCTCCTCCTCCTCCTCCTCCTCCTCCTCCTCCTCCTCCTCCTCTTTCTCCTCCTCCTCCTCCTCTTCTTCCTCCTCCTCCTCCTCCTCCTCCTCCTCGGCGCCCTCGATAGCCTGCCCCCACTGCCCCTCCCTCAAGTTACTGCACCCCCCCCGGGCGTCTTCCTAGTAAGGGGCCCAGACCCTGTCGCGTTGCGAAGGAAATCGCGACGGGAGTGTGTGTGTGTGTTTTTTTTTTATATAAAAAAAACATTTTCGGCCTCCGGGGGCCCTTGCTGGGCCTTGGGGCCGTCAAACAACGACTCGGGATGAAAGACCAGTCCTAGGGAAGAGGGTCCAGACCTGTTGGGGTCGCGGGTTTGGGGGGAGCCAGCGTCGAGTTCTCGTCTGGACGTTCCCCGAAAATTCTGGGTGGTGATGGCGGTGATGCAGTTCGTGATGATGAATGACGTGGAGCATGAGGATATGTGGCAACTCCTGGAAGCCTCCCATACCATCCTTCTGGCTCTTGCGAATCGACGGTAATCGACGCGAGTCGACGCTGAATTGACGCTAGTCAGCGCTGGTCGATACTAAATGGACGTTATCTCATCGACTACCAGACGTTAATCGACGATCGTGTGTTCTCAATATGGAATTGCGAGGGTACGCGAGGCTCCCATGATTTGTTACCCGAGGAGGAGTTGCCCTGCTCCTGTGCAAGACCCCCCGCCCCGCCAGCTGCCCCCGTGCGCTGGGTCGCACGGTCACCCGCGACGCCGTGCAGCCCAGCCGGTGGGCCAAGCGGCCCGAGGACTTGGCCGCAACCGCAAGGGGGAGGAAGAAGAGGAAGAGGAGGGAATGGAGTGAGGGTGTGAGCCGTCTGGGTGTCGTGCATTGGTAATATTTGTGCAACTGGGGAAGATTTGTTTCAGGCAGGCGCAGGTGAACTGGTGCAGCTCCTCGTGTGCCCGCACGGCACGCGCGGACTGTGGGTTGATGCGCTGCAGCGCCTGGGTGCGCCTTCAATGTCAGGCGCAGCACCGTTTCATGCGCCGGCGGCGCAGCTGCAGCTCAGGCTGTTGCTCGACAGTGGTCGACGCGCCCAAGCTCGTTGGCCAAACGAAGGACTCCACGGAGCCCGCTGGCCAGCGAGGTCCTGTTCCTCGGTCTCGCTGGCGGAGTCGTCTGCGTCGAGTCCGAAGAGGTCCTTCGCTTTGTTCACGGCCTGAGGCTGGTAGACGGCGTAAACGGAAGGGTCAGCCTCCATTTGCTCAGCTTCGTCATCAGGCAGCCCAAGAAAACAATGCATCGAGGATTCCCCAATCACGTCACTCTCCCGCTCCCCGAGAGGGGGGTCGTCCGTAACGTATTTCTCGCAGCACTACGTGCTCGCTGTGCTCGCACAACTCCTTCAATTCATGAAGCGAGTGATCACCTGCAGTAATGGCGCGGAGCACTGGCCGGACCTGTGTCTCGCTGGATGCAGCTGCAACACCCTGGCATCTTCCATGCCCCCCCTCCCCCGATGAGGTCCCACGCGTGCTGGTAGTGGGAGTCCGAGGGGCGGCCCGACTGCTGTGGGGGGCGCTGAGCCTTGCCCGTGCCCTCCAGGGCGCCTTTGACCACTAGGTTCGCCCGGCTGAGGGAGTTCGGCGACCAGATGCTCCCAGAGCTTCGCCACAAGGGGAAACAGGATGGTGTTGTCTTCAACCTCGGGCTCCTCGGCGTCGAGATCACAGTAGCTTGTGGGAGGCGTTGATGCAGTGGTTGGCCATCAGCATCCAACATCCAATATATAATACAACAGCAACGTGGGTCCCCTCTTCGCGTTGCGTCCTGCCAGTGCGAGTAGTATTGGAAAGGTCCAGCTTCGCGCAATCAACTTAAAGCAGGCGGTATCCATTAGTATCCGCACTCATCCCAGGCATAATAACACTGCTTACTTTCTCTGGCGCAGAGTAACTTAAGGATTGTCGCTTGCCGTCGTTTCCTTTGCACCTATCCTTCTTGGCTTGCTTCTCCGCAGCCTGCGTCACTTCTCTCTTTATCGCCTTCCTCATCACACTCTTCCTTCTCATCCTTACCCTGCACCTCATCCTCCTCCACCTCACGCCCAACTAGGTTCCCCCTCCCCTCCATTCATCTCCATCTCCGTCCTCCCTTCCTCCCTCCCTGACTCCTTGTCCCCGTATCTTCCGTCTCCTCCTTGATCCTCGTCCTCATCGTTGTCGTCGTCCTCATGCTGCCCACTTGATCCTCCGTGCTCTCGTCCACATATCTCTCCTTCTCCTCCTCCTCCTTCTCCTTCTCCTCCTCCTTCTCTTTCTCTCCTCCTTGTCCTCCTCCCTCCTCCTCCTCCTCCTCCTCCTCCTCCTCCTCCTCCTCAATCTGCCCCTCCTCCCTCCTTCCCTTCCTTCGTTCCTCTTCCCCCTGTCTCTCCCTGCCGTCTCCCCCTTCCCCCTCTCTCTCCTCGTCATGCTCCTCCTTTCCCTCTATGCCTCTCCTGCTCCCGCGGGACCGCGTGCGGGAGGATGCGGCGAGGAGAACGGAGGAGGTGGAGGAGGGGGCCCCTGCTATCACAACTACACGCTGCCTTGCGCTGTTCCGTTTGTTGTTTTTCTCTTTTCTATGATCTGCGGCAAATGGGCAGTTCGCGATCCGGTCCGATACGAAGAAGGATGGGGAGACGGAGGAGGAGGATCAGGAGCAGGAGCAGGAGCAGGAGGGCTACCGCACCATGGCTCCATTCCACCCCCCTCCCTCCGAGACGCTGCTCCAGCACGCCCCCCCGGCAGCCCTGGATGCTCCATTGGCGGCACACCCACGCGAGGACGACCCAGCTGATGGTGGAGCGGCTCCGGCTGGGCCACCTGTCGCCGCGGCCCTCGAGTTGAGCTCGCGATCGGGCAGACGGCCGGCTTCACCGTGCCCCATCTCCTCCTTCCATTCGGATGCAAGTCCTGGGATGTTTCGTTCAGAATCGGAGCTGGTAGATCCTTGGTCGACAATAGGCCTGATCTGGGCAAATCGGCAATACGGCTTAATCTGGATCAATCCCGCTCTATCCCGGGCCTACTCCAGGCTAGTCCAACTCAATGTCCCCATAATGGAAATTAGTAGGCCTCGCAATCTTTCTGGCGAAGACGTCCCAGCCTTGCCTCCCCTCCCTTTACGTCCTTCCTCTTCGGGGGCGGTGCCAGCAACGGGCCCGATGGCGTTGTGGCCGCCCTGGGCGACCCTCGGGGCCTGCCGAGGCCACCATTCGGGGGGGGGGCCAAGTGGGGGGTGATGAAGCGGGGGGGGATCATGGCGGGGGCCATGATATCTCCCTGGATTCCATGGCGTGTCTACGTACTCGTTCCCCGCCCCCCATGGGCCGCGCACATGCCGCTGGCCATGATTTGCGCCCCCCCCCCCCCCCTCTTGGACGCCCCCCCCTGGACGCACCCGAACATTCGGAGGTACGCACGGATTTCTCAGATCGGCGCTGAAACCCCCTGGCGGCGCCTCTGTCGCCGACACTGGCGCGCTCCGCGCGCCAGGGTAGCGGATCCAAGAATTCAGCGCGGACCTCTGCAAGTGTTGTTTCTGTCCGTGCGTGGCACGTGCCCCTCGAGTTGGGACCGCCCTGGGCTGCCCCGAGGGGCCTTCTGAGGCCAGCGTGGACCACCTCCGATGGCTGCGCGTGTGCGTGCGCGGCCCCCGGCCCTGACAGCGGCGGGCAGCCACCGAGCCTGACCCTGGCAGGATTCACTTGGACTCGTCCGAGTCGATTCGATGCGATTTCGATCGATTTCGATTCGAATTCGACTTCGGATTCCGATTTGGATCTCGATGTCTGGCCTGTCGACGATTGCCGATTCGGCTTCGCCCGACTTGGCTGCCGATTTCCGCCGGTCCGAGTCATTGCGACGGCCGATCCGACTTCTCGACTCGATTCCGGGCTTTCCTGCCTTGGCATGGCTTGGGGCTCGAGGCCAGGCTCTGGCGTTTGTGTTGGCCCTCGGGCGAAGAGTTCGGCCGAGCTTGGCTAGGGAATGTGCGGCCTGACTCTAAAATTAGTAATGGCTTGGCGCATGTCCTCCCAGAGATCCGAGGCTCCGCCAAAAGTTGTAGCGGCAGATGTTTGACCGTGTTCGGCCTCTGGGACAGTCAAAAACAATCCAGGGCGGAAAGCCAGTCTCGCCCAGGCCTCCAGGGACTCACGCATCGAGAACATTGGAGCACCGGATGTCTATGTGTCTTTGCTTCCGTGTGGCCCGCCGTGACCTTAGCTAAGCTTGGCGCCGTGCTGGCCAGTCGGCACGATTCCACGTCCACATTTAGATCACAGGCGATTTTTCTGCCCCCCGAGTTCCGCCCGAATTGTTTAGCCGCTCAGAAAAAAGGGAAACCCTGGGATACACCCCCAAGGGGGTATTCGGACGCACCCGTGTCGAGAGGGATGCACCCCCATCGTATACTGTATCCCAGGGTTGGGCCCCCACTGCCGGGTCGATTCGGAAACCCACGCAGTCTGGGACAGGAGTCGACCTGAGCTGCCTCGAGATGCCCGTGTTGAGACCCAACACGTGCCGTGCCCAAAGCGTTCGTATCAATACTTCGCTTGCTGGCTCAGCGCATTGGCCGACGTTTTGGCGAACGCATCGCCTCGTACCTACACGTTCGACTCACGTGTTGCGCTCCGTGTTGCGTGTTGCGTGCCGTGGCAGCCAAGGGCAGGGCTGGACCGAAACGGTGTTTGGGGTGATTTTCGTGGGCCGTTATCGTTTCGATCTCGTTTCGCGGTGAAGGCGGAATCGAGACAAAAGCCAGGGAAGACGACCATACAACGAACACGAGAAACAGCGTTTAGGTTCAGGCCTGGCCAACGGGTCGAGACGTCGCCTGTTGATGTCCGCACTGGAATCGGGGGAGCGTAAGACCCGGGTTTGCCAGGACTCGGGTTCGCCATCGTTTTTTGACGACCGCGCCTCGGATTTTGACGAGGAGGAGTTTCGTGGGATGTCTGCAGCGGGAGGCCTCGTCAAAATGCAGGCTCGGCCTCGTCATTTTTTTGACGACCTCGTCGGGGATTTCCGAGTCCACTGTACACAGGTCTTACGTCCCTCTGATGGAAGGCTCGGGTCGGACCGCGGGGGGCGACGGGGGGCACGGCGGGGAGCTCGAAGCCTGCAGCACGCAGCCGGCTGCGGCTCCGCCGCCGGGCGCGCTCCCGTCGGCGCGAAGGGTCTTGGCACGGCTCGGACGTGTGCACTCTCGCAGGCCTAAGATCAAGAGGGGAAAAAACACACAGACACAATTAATCGGCGATTCCCAGAAAATATGGGAAAATATGGGAAGTGGGGGGGAAAACAAAAACCCAGAAAATATGGGAAAATATGGGGGATATTTTATTTGTGTGTATTTATTTGTGTGTCCCAGTTCCCCTTCATAAGAGGTTGACACCAGCGCCAATCTCGGCGGTGTGCCTCCGCTGAGGGACGAAGATCCCGATCTCAAAGATGGTGTTAATGTTCTGGCTTCCAGAGTGGCCGAAATATGACCACCAGCGCCGACATCCAGGATCTTCTTCCCCCCGTGGAGGCAGCCTTCTGTGTTGGTGTTGGTGCCCATTTCCAGGCCTCCAACACTTTTCCCCGGCGGGGACTATTGAGGAGCATCCTGGATCATCAAACCAAGAAACACACACGCGAAACGCAAACAATGCACGAGGAATGGACGTCCGAGCGATTGCAAGTCCTCGATGTGTGGGCACCTCTGGCGCTGGGAGGCGCAGGAGGAGTCGGCTGCGTAGGCTGGTTCGTGAGCCTCCCCTTTTTGCGATTCCCCCCCCCCCCCCCCCTTTCCTCCCTCCCCTTTTGCTTTTCCCCCCCTCTTTTGCTATCCCCCCCTTTCCCCCCCTTTTGCTCTCTGCTGCTTGTACTCGACTTCGGCTCCACCGCTGGGCTGTGCACGGCCGCCTCCATCGCAAGGAGGCGACGGACGACACAAAATGCTTGCAGCTGGTTCCCTACCTCCCTCCTGTGCACCCCCCTGTCGTCCGCCTCGAAGGACCACTCCTTCCCTCATGTAAGCCAGGGCGCCCGCGAGACACCGAAGTGTCGGATCCCCTGAGGTGCCCAATCGAAGAACAAGAGAAAACGTCGGGATGCCCAACCGATCGCCAAGGCGTCGGGCAGTTGGGGCAGCCTCGCTGATGGTGCCTCGCGGCCTCCTCTTCCACCCAGCACCAGAGGGGGCCGCAGGCGGACACCACCGGACACCGCCGGACCTTCCTCGAGCGGAGGGGGGGAGCAGGAGGAGGAGGAACAGGAGGAGGTTGGGGAGGGGGAGGAAGGCGAGGGGGAGGAAGACGAGGAGGAGGAGGAAGAGGATGAGATGGAGGAGGAGGAGCACGAGGAGGAGGAGGAGGAGGAGCAGAACGTGTTGCCAGACGGCGCCCCAAGGCGGGTCCACAGCGCGCACACTTTGACACGCACGACAGGAAGCACGAAACATGATTTCCTGCTGCGGCTTGTCGCGCAGGCTCTCCCGAATCTAATCTCCATTCGACTTCTGTCAGCTCAGAGTCTCCGCCGGGGGTCGCCCGTGGGCACTGCCAGCATGTCAGAGTAGCGAAGTGTATGCTGCGAATTCTATTTTTTGGCGTCGCCAATGGCGGCAGTTCTTCGCGCTCCTCGATGTCACAGAGAGGAGACGCCCAGGTCGTTAATTTTTATTGACTCCCTGTCTCTGCGATTCTCAATTTCAAGATCCCTCTCTCTCTCTCTCTTTCTCTATTTCTTTCTCTCCACCGTTCTGATATTGTCCGCACCTATCAATCTCGCACTCTCCCACTCACTTTGACGTCCCTCTTCCCCATCTCCCCCTCGCGGTCTCTCCCGCCATCCGCCCGACGTTGTCTCTCTCTGTCTCTCTCCATCGCTACAGGTAGACATTATTTGGATATCTATGCATATATATATATATATACATATATAAAAATATAGATGTGTGTATGTATACATATATATATATATACATGGAATGGTATTCTTAGCCGTGAGAAAATAAATGTTTAACAATGCGAAAAACAATACGTAAAAGCAACACGTAACAGCAATACGTAAACGTGAGAAAAACAAGGTGTACAAAACAATACTTAACAACAACATGTAAAAACAATACGTAAAAAAAACGATACCTAAAACAAGACGTAACAACAATACGTAAAAACAATACGTAAACGTAAACATAAACGAGTCCAAAACAATACGTAAAACAATCCGTAAAAAAACAATACGTAAAACACTACGTAAACAACAATACGTACAAACAAAACGTAAAAAACAATACGTAAACACAATACGTAAAACAATACGCAAACGTGAAGAAAAACAACGAGTAGAAAACAATACGTAAAAACAATACGTCAAAACAGTACGTAAACGCAATACGTAAAAACAATACGTAAAAACAACACGATAAACAAAACGTAAACAACAACACGATAAAACAATACGATAAAACAATACGTATGTACGTGTGGTTATGCTTTTATGATATCTTGCGTATTGTTTGGATGTGTTGTTTTAACGTGTTGTTATGCTTTACATGGTATTTTGCGTATTGTTTTACGTATTGGTGCCTTCACGGTTAATTTAAGCCTTCGATGCATTTACGTATTGATGTACGTGTTGCTCGTACGTGTTGTGACGTGTTGTTTTACATATTGGTTTACGTGTTGTTTTACGTGTTGTTGTTTTACGTGTTGTGCTTACGTGTTGTGTGGGTTGAACGAAATTTCACGTGTATTACGCGTTGTGCTCACGTAGTGCCTACGCGTTGTGATCACGTGCTGGTTAACGTATTGTTGTTACGTGTTGTTTGTACGCGTTGTTTGGTTAGTTTTTTTGTTTTTTGTTGCTTGTTTTGTTTACTTATCGTTGTTTACATATCATGGTTACGTGTTGTTTTTACGTGCTGTTTTACTTGTTGTTTTACGTGTTGTTTTTGCGTATTGTTTTTACGCGTTGTTTTTACGTGTTGTTTTGGTGTGTTGTGTTTATGTGTTGTTTTTACGCGCGTTGAACGCAAGTTTACGTGTATTTCGCGGTATGGTTACGTGTTTTTACGTGCTATGTTGACTACATAGTGTTTTACGTATTGTTCTTACGTGTTATTTTAACGTGAGTTTTATGTTTTACATGTTGTTTTGCGCATTGTTTTACTTATTGTCCTCCTCACGTTTCAATTAAGCCCTCTTTTCATTTATTTGTTGATGTACGTGTTGTTCGTACGTTTTATTACGTTTTGTTTTACGTATTGGTTTACGTGTTGTTTTTACTTGTTGGTTTTACGTGTTGTTTTAACGTGGGTCGAATTAATTTTCACGTGTGTTACGCGCTGTGCCTACGTAGTGCTTACTCGTTGTGATCACGTGCTGCTTTAACGTACCGGTTTTACGTATTGCTTATATGTGCTGTTTTCTGTTTCTAGTGTGTTTATGTATTGTTTTTATGTATTGTTGTTAATTGTTGTTTTTACGTGTTGTTTTTGCATATTGTTTTTACGTGTTGTTTTTACGTATTGTGTTTACGTGTTGTTTCAACGTGTTGTTCTCACGTGGGTTCAACGAGTTTTCACATGTATTACGTGTTGTGCTCACGTATTGTTTACGCGTTGTGATCACGTATTGTTTTAACGTATTGTTGTTGCGTATTGTTTTTATGTGTCGTTGTTTCGTATTGTTCTTATGTATGGTTTTTACGTGTTGTTTTTAAGTGGTGTTGTTGCGTATTGGTTTACGTGTCGTTTTGACGTGTTGTTTGTACGTCTTGTTTTTGCGTGTTATTTTTTCACGTATTGTTTTTACGTGTTGTTTTTACGTGTTGTTTTACGTGGGTTGAACGATTTTTCTTGTGAGTTACGCGTTGTGGTCACGTAGTTTTTACGCGTTGTCATTACGCGTTGTTTTGACGTATTGTTTTTACGTGTTGTTTTTTAAGTGTTGTTGTTTCGTGCCGTTTTTATGTGTTGTTTTTACGTGTTCTTTATACGTGTTGTGTTTGCGTATTGTTTTTACGTGTTGTTTTTGCGTGTTCTTTCGTGGGTTGGACGAATTTTCATGTTTATTACGCGTTGTGCTCACATAGTGCTTACGCGTTGTGATCACGCGCTGGTTCAACGTATTGTTTTAACGTCTTGTTGTGATGTGTTGTTTTTTACGTACTGTTTTTACGTAATGTGTTTTGTTGCGAATTGTGTTTACGTGTTGTTTGTACGTGTTGTGTGTACGTGTTGTTTGACGCATTGTTGTTGCGTGTTGGTTTTACGTATTTGTTTTACGTGTTGTTTTCTTCTCACGTTTAAGTGTTGTGTTTACGTATTGTTTATATATATATATATATGTTTATTTATTTAGTGTTTTCACGTATTGGTTTTACGTATCGTTTTCAAGTGTTTTTTACGTGTTGTTTTTACGTATTGTTTTTTTACGTGTTGGTGTTTTACGTAGTGTTGTTACGGTTTTTTTTTGTCACGCTTGCGTATCGTGTTTACGTGTTGTTCTTATGTGTTGTATTCACGTGGGTTGAACATATTATCACGTGTATTCTGCGCTGTGCATCACGTAGTGTGTACGCGTTGTGATTAAGAATTGTTTTTGCGTGTTGTTCTTAAGTGTTGGTTTAGCGTGTTGTTTTTACGTATTGTATCTTTAACTGTTCTTTTCGCTTATTGGTTTTACGTATTGTTTGTACGTGTTGTTTTTACGTGGGTTGAACGAATTGTCACGTGATGTTTACGCGTTGTGGCACGTGCTGTTTTAACGTATTGTTTTTACGTATTGTTTTTATGCGTTGTTGTGACGTAGTGGTTTTACTTATTGTTGTTGCGTATTGTGTTTAAGTGTTGTTGTTACGTATTGTGTTTCCGTATTGTTGTTACGCGTTGTTTTACGTATTGTTTTTACGTGTTGTTTTTACGTATTGTTTTTACGTGTTGTTGTTACGTGTTGGTTTTACGTGGGTTGAACGAGTTGTCACCCGTTTTGTTTGTATGTGTTGTTTTGTTTGTCAGTGCTGTTTTTCCGTATTGTTTTACGTGTTGGTGTTAAGTGTTGTTTTTGTTGTACGCGTTGTTTTTACGTAATGTTTTTACGCGTTGTTTTACGTATTGTTTCTACGTGTTGTTTTTACGTGTTGTTTTTACGTGTTCTTCTTACGTATTGTTTTGACGTGTTGTTTTGTTTTGTTTCGTATTGTGTTTACGTGTTGTTTTTACGTATTGGTTTTATGTGTTGTTTTTACATTTTGTTTTTACGTGGGTTGAACGACTTCTCACGTGTATTACGCGTTGTTTTCACGTAGTGTGTACGCGTTGTGGCCACGCGTTGTTTTACGTATTGTTGTTACGTTTTGTGTTTTTAAGTGTCGTTGTTTCGTTTTGTTTGTATGTATTGTTGTTGCGTATTCTTCTTATGTGTTGTTTTCACTTATTTTTTATTATGTGTTGGTGTTACGTGTTGTGTTTACGTGTTTTTTTTGTTTTTTTTGTGCGTGGTGTTTTTACGTGTTTTTTTTACGCGGTTTGAACGAATTCTCACGTTTATTACGCGTTCTGTTCACGTAATGTTTACGCGTTGTGATCACAGGCTGCTTTAACCTTTTGCTGTTAGGCTTAGTTTAAAGTGTTGTTGTTTCGTGTTGTTTTGCGTGTTGTTTTTACGTGTTGATTTCACGTTTTGTGTTTACGTATTGTTTTAACGTGTTGTTTCTACGTGTTGTTTTTACGTGGGTTGAACGAACTGTCACGTGTATTACACGTTGTGCTCACGTAGTGGTTACGCGCTGTGACCACGCGCTGTTTCAACGTATTGTTTTTTTTAATGTTTTTTTGTTGTTTCGTATTGTTTATTTTATTTATGTGTTTCACGTATTGTTTAACGTATTGCTTTTAAGCGTTGTTTTTTGGGCGTTTTTTTGTCCCCGTATTGTTTCTACGTGTTGTTTAACGTACTGGTTTTACGTGTTGTATTCTTCTCGCGTTTACGTTGTGTGTTTACGTATTGTTTTAACGTGTTGTTTTTGGTCCTCACGGTTAGATTAATACTTCATCTATAGTTATCTCTCCCCTTTTCTCTTGTGCCTTGTCCCTATGGCCCAATTCCGCTGTCCTCTGCCGCGCCCGTATCCTGAGCCCACACACCTGTACACAACGGAATTGCCAATTTCACCTTGGTGGTGACAACAACGATTTTGATGATGGTGATATTCATGACGGCGATTGCGGGAATGTCGAGGACAACGTTGCTGACGTTTATGAAATTACCTATGGTGCATATGACAGTGGCAACGATGACGTTGGCGATGACGATGGCGATTGCGATGGTGAAGGGTAAGAAGAACGTCGCGCGCATAATTCTGACGAGGGCGACGACTCCGACGAGGATGATGATACGTGCCCTTGTAATGACGGCGATAGTGATGGTGATGCTGATGATGACGATTCCAATGTTAATGATTGCGTGTCGCAAAATGACGACGAGGTGTGCGTCTGCAGAATTCCGATTCGTTGTTTCTTATTGAAGCCCACGGGCTGTTCGCATGCGTTTGTGCGCATCTGTCTTGGAATCGCCATGCAAATAATTCTGTTGGAAGGATTTAGGCGTGCGTGCGCGGAGACTTGCGCGTGTGGCTCGCATTGCGTTTATGTCGGCCGAGTTTGCGGGCTCGCAATGGTTGTTGAACATGTTCGACTTGCGCGAAGGCGCGCCACCACGTGTGCGCGGATATTTTGGGAGCGCTCGGTTGGAGAGAAGAAAAGG